AAACGCACACACACACACACACACACACACACACACACACACACACACACACACACACACACACACACACACACACACACACACACACACACACACACACACACACACACACACACACACACACCCGGCAGTACCTAGAAGTTCTCGAACAGTCAGAAAAATCTGTCAATCTCACATCCTCATAAGCACGAACACACTTTGATCCTCAGCCCCTGTGATTCAGACAGGAAGCGTTACAGTCTGGTTTGTTTTTGTCTTTATTGTACCTTACTTTTTGATCGACATCATATCTCACACAACCTCAAACTGCATTTCCTGTTGCCCCCTGTCTCAACTCTGTCAGACAGTAATGGAGACAGCCCAGTTTGCCGACGACTGTTTATTCCTGTTTCCAACTCGACGGGTGTTGTTTCTGTGACCCGCGCTCACTAAAGACCATAAACCCAGAGAAGTGGTTATGCAGCGCTGGTTTCTGCTCATTATACTAGTGTTTGCCGCAGTGAAGATCAGTAGAGTCGCCTAGATCAGTGCCGTGCTGAAGCACATGGTGTGTTCATCATTCAACTAATTTAACTGCATGCCCAATTTGCATTTCAAATGAAATCACTTCCTAACACCTTCCTTGTTGAGGATGATTTGTCACCCTGTAGAACTACTTTGATGTTCATCTTCTTTACATTGCATCTCACTTCATAACAACACTTTAATAAGTTGTTTTATTACCTGTCGTGTCCTCGCAGCGCTCCCTCTACCGTATCTAAACTCAACACTGTCCTACATTCTCCTTGTGATGTGACACTGCTGCGGTTTGGTGGCGTTGACGAGAGATAGCATTCCCCCTCTGCGCTCTCCTTTATTGACTTTTAACGTTGCTTCCAATTAATATCTCTGTCATTAATTTGCAGTGACACATGGCCTCCCTCCACCCACACAACCAGCCAGCAAGTTAGCTTCAAGCCTTAAAGCGCTGTTTGGTCTCTGAGCACCAAACTGCTGGGAGGAGAGCTTTAAATGAGAGTGTACGCACATGTTGTTCTAATATCTTTCTGCACAGATCTCTTTCTTTGTGGTTTTTCCTCGTTCTTTCTTAGTTCCCTGCTGCCCTCCTAGCTGGTGTGCACAGTTCTCTGTTATTATCAACATTTAGCGAGACAGCACTGAGTGCACTTTAGTCGGCTACACGATTTCTCATTCTGTTACCGAGAAAACATCTTACATGTTATGGCTATTTTCTCAATGATGGGTGTGATAACGTGTCTCTCCATTACTCCCACTCATGGGGGTGAATTATTCTTCAGCTTTCATTTGTGATGGGGTGATGATAAGGATGACAGCAGGCAGCGCAGTGATGGTTGCCCTTAGTTTCTTAATTCTTTCTGCCGAACTTACTTCAATCCATAGTTAGTCAAATGTGCGGTCTTTTCAGAGTGGAGAGATACATCACAAAAGGCTCCCAGGTGAACCTTAATGGAATCCACATAGAGATAAATTGCTAAATTGCACAGCATGAAAACAGATGAAAGACACTTAAAGTTATTGAAGCAGTGTTCACAATTATTTTTTTCAGGTCCAAGCTTCACAAGACAAGAGGTTCTTTATTCCTATATTTCCCTATTTTTTCCCTAAGTCAGTCAATATCAGTTTTTTCTTCACACAATTATCGTGGCATTCACAAGTGACAATAATATGATCAAGATAACTATGAAACATTTGAAAAGAATAAAATAATGCTATTTGTCTAAATAATTGAAATGTTGCTAATTGGGGAGGGGGACGAAGCGATAATGAAAACAAATAGAAAGGATTTCATGGTGGATTATATTCTCATAGTTACATTACATTACATTACATTTAGCTGACGCTTTTATCCAAAGCGACTTACAATAAGTACATTCGACCAGGAAGACACAACCTTGAAGAAAACAGAATCATATAAGTACATCAGGTTTCATAGTGCCAAACATTTCAAGTGCTACTCAACTGGCTTTAGATAAGCCAGTCCTTTATTAGTATATAAGTGCTTTGTTAATAATTCTATCGCTCGAAGTGGAGTCGAAAGAGATGAGTTTTCAGTTTGCGCCGGAAGATGTGCAAGCTATCTGCCGTCCTGATGTCAATGGGGAGCTCATTCCACCATCTTGGAGCCAGGATAGCAAACCCACGTGTTTTTGCTGATGGGAACTTGGGTCCCCCTCGCAGCGAGGGTACAGCGAGTCATTTAGCTGATGCAGAGCGTAGTGCACGCGCTGGGGTGTACGGTTTAACCATGTCCTGGATGTACGAAGGGCCAGATCCATTCGCAGCATGGTAAGCAAGTACCAGTGTCTTGAAGTGGATTCTAGCAGTTACCGGAAGCCAGTGAAGGGAGCGGAGGAGCGGAGTGGTGTGGGAAAATTTAGGAAGGTTGAAGACCAGACGAGCCGCTGCATTCTGGGTGAGCTGCAGAGGTCGGATGGCACATGCAGGTAGACCAGCCAGGAGGGAGTTGCAGTAGTCTAGGCGTGAGATGACGAGAGCCTGGACCAGAACCTGCGTCGCTTTCTGTGTCAGCTGGGGACGTATCTTCCTGATGTTGTAAAGCGTGTATCTGCAGCAACGGGTTGTAGCAGCGATGTTTGCAGTGAAGGACAGGTTGTTATCTAGGGTCACACCCAGATTCCTTGCAGTCTGAGTCGGGGAAACAACTGAGGTGCCGATGTTGATTGTTAGGTCAAGAGTGGGACAATCTTTTCCCGGAAGGAAAAGCAGCTCAGTCTTGTCAAGGTTGAGCTTGAGGTGATGAGCAGACATCCACTGAGAGATGTCAGCTAGACAAGCAGAGATGCGTGTGACGACCTGGGTCTCTGAGCGGGGAAAGGACAGAATTAATTGGGTGTCGTCAGCGTAGCAGTGGTAAGAAAAACCATGCGGGCTAATGACTGATCCGAGCGAGTTCGTGTACAGGAAGAAGAGGAGGGGACCAAGAACAGAGCCCTGAGGGACCCCTGTAGTTAATTGACAAGGGTCGGACTCAGACCCTCCAAGTCACCCTGTAGGTACGGTCTTTCAGGTATGAGGTGAGGAGGGAAAGTGCAGAGCCTGAAACTCCAAGTTTTTGGAGAGTGCGAAGGAGGATCTGATGATTCACTGTGTCGAATGCAGCAGACAGGTCCAACAGGATGATGACAGAGGAGAGGGATGCTGTTTTGGCAGTGTGCAGTTCCTCAGTGACAGCAATGAGAGCAGTTTCTGTGGAGTGACCTGCCTTGAAACCAGACTGGTGCGGATCCAGAAGGTTGTTCTGATTGAGATAATAGGAGAGTTGTTTAAAGACAGCGCGTTCAAGTGATTTAGACAGGAACGGGAGGAGAGAGACAGGCCTGTAGTTTATAACATCAGACGGGTTGAGAGTGGGTTTCTTTAGGAGACGGTTTACTCTTGCCTCCTTGAGACTGTTTGGAAAGTGACCAGAAGTTAGAGAAGTGTTGATGAAATGGGAGAGAAACGGTAGAATATCAGGAGCGATAGTCTGAAGGAGGTTGTATTACTAATGTGATTTCAATGTTTAAAGTTGTAAATGTTACAATTATCAATGTCGGTCTATCATAACGCTATTTTTCTGTTCACTCTTTTGAAATACATCTTGCTATATTTGAATGATAAAGATACATTATGTAATCATATCTGGGTGTTTTTCAATGTATTAAGGCCTTCATTTAAAGGATTGGGAAACAAAGAAATACAGAATTGGTGAAAGTACCTGTTTTACACTTTTTTAAAGCTGACATACTTACAGTAGATATTATATAATGGACTTTTCTTTGATGATTGAAGTCAGATGCCCAACATCCACATAAGTGGGTTACATACATGCTTTGCAAAGTTACTGCATGTGTTTATGTTGATATCAGTGTTGAAACGTGTTGTCCATCTTTCTACATGTGATGCATCAGTCCGCTTCTTTTTAAATAAAGCCGAACAGAATGGAGAAAGAGAGATGGGTTTCCTACCATGAGATGTGGACAGTGGCTTTGCCTTCAGTGTATTTTTAAACACTCTTAAGGAATAAGACTTAGAGGATAGTAAGTACTGGCCAGAGAGCAGTAATAATTAATGAAGGTTTATATAGAAAGCACAAGAAAGCCAGCTGAAGATGCCTTGGTCATTACTCTTATGCATGTGCTCTGATTGCTGCTTTTCATCCTCTTCTCCGTCGTCCTTGTACTTCTCTGATCTTTCTTTTTCTTATTTGTTCAGTTATTGGCACAGTCTTATTCCTGTCTAACCCTATCTCTCTTTCTCTTCATATCTTTCAGGTTCAAGAAGATGTCTTTGTGGATTTTAACCACCAGGAGCTGGTTGACTTCTACAATAAGGTCTGTTATTTGTGTGTGTAAGAATGTGTTTTGTCAGCGCCTATCTTCCATGTTGCATTTCATCCTGATTGACAGACATTGCCTGACAAAATCTATCTGCCTTCCTGTCGAACTCATTCTTTTAATGGCCTATTTCTATTTGTTCTTGACTCTCCATGAATGTGTGTGCATGTTTGTGTGTGTCTCTTTTGTGTACTTCTTTTTAAGCATACACTCAACATTTTCTCCTCTCTTTCAGCTTGAAATCGTGCAGGGCCAGTTGGATTCCCTGACTTGATGCCTGATGCTCTTGTAGACAAACACACACACGCACACACGCACACGCACGCACGCGCACACACACACACACACACACACACACACACACACACACACACACACACACACACACACACACACACAAACAGTCAGTGTTTTTGCTGCCAGCTATGCCAGCTGTTAGAGGCCTAGCAATTCCATTCGGGGTCTGATTTATTAGTGAACAATGTCAAACTTTGAAGGAAGGGGTTTGTTTCCCCTTTGAGCTTCTTTCATTCCAGGTTTGTGCTCTTGATTTAAAGAGGCCATTGTGATCAATCTGCCTGTACTTTGAATTTGTATGTCTTCATCAAGGAGATGATGGAAAGATTACCCTTGTCAATATAAAGTGAACTACAACACATTTCTTGATAACTTAGTATATATCCAGCCAGGACTCACTTAATGTTTGATTTCCCTTAAATACAGTAGCAATGAGATTAAAAACAAAATGCCAAATGTCAATGATTTTACCGTATGAAAAAAAGCAGTTATAAAGAAATGGTATGGATTTTGTATCTAGGAAAAGGAAGTAATGCTGATTCTATTCTAATAAAATGTGGGGAGGTGAAATTCTTCCAAGCTGTTGTTATTTAGTGAAGGCTCATTATTTCTCATTAAGACCAACCTGGACTGCTGGTTCAACAGATGGGAGTTCTGGGACGCACATCGGACCTGCAGTCTCTGTGTGTGTGTGTGTGTGTGTGTGTGTGTGTGTGTGTGTGTGTGTGTGTGTGTGTGTGTGTGTGTGTGTGTGTGTGTGTGTGTGTGTGTGTGTGTGTGTGTGTGTGTGTGTGTGTGTGTGTGTGTGTGTGTGTGTGTGTGTGTGTGTGTGTGTGTGTGTGTGTGTGTGTGTGTGTGTGTGTGTGTGTGTGTGTGTGTGTGTGTGTGTGTGTGTGTGTGTGTGTGTGTGTGTGTGTGTGTGTGTGTGTGTGTGTGTGTGTGTGTGTGTGTGTGTGTGTGTGTGTGTGTGTGTGTGTGTAGATGGGTGCATGTATATGTCCTTGTTAATGCATCTGTCCTTGTCTACGTGTGTGAGAGAGTGAATAGTTCCTCTTTCAACTCTTTCAATCCAAACTTCAGACGTTCCCAGGTGTTGTCGTCCTGAGCAGATTTAGGAACAAAACACTGCTTTAAGTCTACTAAGTAGGTTCGTTTTTTTACCCTTTTTTTAAAATAAAAAAGTGACTTTTGAAAAAAGTGTTATTTGAAAACAAATTTTCAAGCTCAAATATACAGTCAGTCCACTTCCTGCTTTTATCTAAAGTGGGTCTACTTACTTAAGGTGTTTATAGTACAAAACTTACCTTGGTACACACTTTTCAGCTTTATTCTAAACACTTAATCTAGCCCAAAAGTTAGATAATTCAATGCAAGCTAGATTGCAAACATTCTGGTTATCAATAAACACTTCTAAACGTACATACTCTTTGTTCATCTATTAGTGAGTTATTAATAGAGCAAGTTTTTACCATGCACCATATCATTCCATACATTTTGGATGTTTATAGCCAGAATATTTCTCTCTATGAAACCATGGTTCTCTGCAGGGATTGGCGGATAACCTTCTTTGGTTTTGGAAAGAGTTGCTTCCCCAATTGATGAAGCATCTCCAAATGTTGTTCATTAGCGAGGGTAACATCAGCAGGTGGTCAGTTTGGTGCAATGTTGGAAGATGCAGGTGTCTCACAGGCTTTTTGTGATGAAGTGGAAGCTGATCCTCAATGTACCCGTCAGTTCATTGTCTTTCTGATCCACACCTGTGCAGAATACAGTCAGGGTTAGTGATTCATAGAATGAGATCATGGGTAAAGCTGGTAATATTTGAAATGAGCCAGTCGAGGTGGTTTGGGGATATAGACTTTTTATTTGGTGGTATTCTTGACATATAGGAACAGAGCACAATAAATGATTATGTCCCCCAGGAGAAACCTGAGGTCATAGAGAAGGACAGTAAGGCTTCTTTTCTTAGACGATGAGTCTTTATTTTCTTGTTTAATATCGGTACTTTATCTCTTTATTGCGATTGTTTACACATTTTTATTTAAAAAAAACCTCCCTGAGTCATCAGAATCATTGCAGAACACGTTCCCATAAGGTACTGTTGCTTTAAATGTCAAACCTTGTTGGTTGACAAGCTGTGATAATTAGCATTTGGAGAGGACATAAAACCTAAATACAGACTAAACCAAACAACAGATTCACTTCCACCTTACCTTGTAATAATAAATGGATTCACTTACTTTACTATGGGAACCTCGCTTACATCTGCCACCCTCGATGATACTAATAATATCTAAAAGTAGTATTTCACACCAAGAAAAAGACAATCAGCATATTCTGCTACAATATGATGAGTAAACCTTGAGATATTAGTACCACACAAGATCTCCAAAACAAAAATGACTCAGTGTGTGTGACATAACCGTCTCAAAAAGATCGAGGGCTCATCCTGAACCACTTATGTCCTGAGTGCTGTTCTTTTTACTCTTACCGACAATGTTTGCCACTATGCGAAAACACCTGCAGTAAGAGGGAGCGCCGTGTTCCACAGCATGGAGAACAGATGGCAAGGCCAAGCAGGGATGGCGGCTTAGAAAAAAAAAAAGAAGAGAAAAAAGAGACTAGCTCACTGAGATCCGGCAGAACACGGCACACAGAGCCCCAACCGGAGCGATAAGAGAGTGTGTGTCTGAGTGTGTGTATGTATGTCTGGTGAGTTGTATCTCTGCGTGCACTTTGCAATGCTCTGATGTGTGTGATGAGGCAAGTTAAGTTTGGCTGGATTCCTCACAAACATACTGGCAGAGTGGCTAGTCAAAGGTCGCTGGGCTTTTCTAGCTTTATTAAGTGTCTAATTGGACTTGCCTCAGTGTGGCTGCGTTCCTTCAGCACTGACCGAGCTTGGCCACGGATGTCAGACACTGAAAGCTGACTATAGGATGCACAAAAGCAAGGTAAAGGCAACCTTGGGTCCCGTGAAAGGCGCTTTATAAATTCCATTTATTATTATTATTATTATTAAAAGTACAACCATTGTTTTCCACCATCGATAACAGTTTTTTTGAACCCCTGCAAGGTCTCATGAATTATTTTGGATTCGGAAGCTTAAAAAAAAGTGACCTGTCCATGATAACACCTGTAGATAAGCCAAACAGAAACCCAAGTGTGGTCAGAGGCAACAGAACATAGCTTTTCTTTGATACATGCATGGTCACACCGGGCAGAAAATGGGAAATTCAAAGCTCGTGACAGTGTTTTGGGGTTATGCAGGGGCCAGTTTTGTTTGAGGCGAAATGGACACAAATGAGAAATTGACTGAACCTCCTATTCAGCTGAACAGGGTTACATACAATTGGATGTAAAAACACCACACAAGAAATTGAGTCAATTCCATTGAAGTACTTTTTTAAATGTTTTAAATGTTGCTGGTGTGTCGGACCCTGAGACCAAGCCCAGTAATCTAAGCATGCTAAAATATCTTTACTGTCAAGCAGGCTTCCCTCCTTACCAAATGTATGGTGAGAGTTCACTTTCACACTAGTTTCGCAGGCAGCCCAGGGATATAAAAAGCCACCAAAATATATTTTGTGACCCATTTCCTTTTTTCCCCTTTTTAATCTGTAACCGACCGAGAAAAGAGTGCCATCCGCAATCGATTTCCGAGTGGCCTAGGGTCTCTGCTGGCTGCGTGCAATTAGCTCCTGTACTACAGTATACAACAGTAAATTAAGCTTACACCTTTCTCCATCTGTTTCTGGTCCAATTCACTCTGTCAAACTCAGTTCAGAATTAAACTAGTTTATACAAGCGCTGGACGTAAGGTTAAAAGCTCAGTGGCTAATTATTTACAACTGACTTGTTGAATCATGATTGTTTCTGTGGCCTTTGTGCTCTTTTAATAGTCTTAAAGCAAGAAAGTATCATTTTAAAAGTTGACATATCACAACTGAGTTAACAATGGCACTCTCCTTCACAAATGAAGGATAATAACTACTGACGCGGTCACTGACAATGGAAGACTTTTGGTACATGAACTGAACATCTACTGTACGGTGGCTGAGAGGAGCAATCGACAATTACAAAGTGTGAAACACTTTAACAAAGCTTGAGACAAATTTACATTTTCTAAAACAAATTTACATTTTCTAAAACAAAATTACATTAGCAAAACACTTTTACCAAAGAAAATTATTTAACATTAACAAAACAAATTAACAAGATGCGAAATGCTTTTACAAAGCTAGAGACAAATTTGCAAGTGTCGAAACACTTTAACATTTGCCGAAACACTAGAGAATCAAACCGGAAAGGCAATGCCCATCATACCAGAAGTGACGTGCAAGTGATTGACACAAACTTAAGTTTGTTTTGGCAGATAGACCGCCGGTACGAGTGTGTTTATGGTTGTTAAACATGTTTTGTCCGTTCTGTGGAAACCACCTGAGCCAAGTGACATGGTTTTGCTCATCACAATATACTTTCTTTCTACTTGGCGAACCTGTAATTTTCTTGTGTGCACGAGAACGTATCTCTTGCGCAAGAGAAAGTATATCGTGATGAGCAAAACCATGTCACTTGGCCCAGGTGGTTTCCACAGAACGGACAAAACGTGTTTAACGACCATAAAGGTCCATAGGTACCGGCGGTCTATCTGCCAAAACAAACTTAAGTTTGTGTCAATCACTTGCACGTGACTTCTGGTATGATGGGCATTCCCTTTCCGGTTTGATTCTCTAGTTTGTTAAAGTGTTTTGGCAAATGTTAAAGTGTTTTGGCAAATGTTAAAGTGTTTCGGAAAATGTTAAAGTGTTTCGGCAAATGTTAAAGTGTTTCGACACTTGTAAATTTGTCTCTAGCTTTGTAAAAGTGTTTTGCATCTTGTTAATTTGTTTTGTTAATGTTAAATAGTTTTTTCTTTGGTAAAAGTGTTTTGCTAATGTATTTTAGTTTTATCAAATGTAAATTTGTCTCAAGCTTTGTTAAAGTGTTTCACACTTTGTAATTGTCGATTGCACCTCTCAGCCACCGTATGTCTGTAACTGTTCTGGCATTTCAGATTGAATTATGAACTCATAGAAAAAGCTTTTTTATAATCTGGTTTCATAACTGTGGACATAACTGTGGACTGTGGACTGTGTGACCTCCTGCCATTGAGCAAAATGTTGGCAAAAGTCTGCATTTGTGATCAGTGATTGAAAGACAATGTGTGTCTGGAGAATAGACAACATACCAAAAATGTGAGTGTCTTTTAAAGGAAAATGACCAGCTAAGATTCACAAAAGTAGTATTAAGCTGCACAGATAGCACCAGTCTGCTTTTATAAAGGATAACCCTTCACAATGGACAAGCAAGCAAAGAGCAGCTAATAAAAAGTGAACAATAGTGGAGCTGGAGTCCCGATAAATCTGTGTTGTGTCAAGAACAATCTGCTTTGCATGCCATTGTCTCTTACGTGTGCCTGGTATTAAAATATGTATTGCTGTGCTCTGTAGCAGAAAATGGTGCTATAATAGGATACTATCTGAGTGAAAATGTGACCAACCGAGTCAACCTCTGTCAGAATTTCCCACGTTTATAAAACTCTCA